AGATGTGAAAATGCACGATTAAATTTAAAAATCACAGAATTATACTTTTTTCAAATATCTTTAAATTTACGATTAAAACCCCTTGAAAAAATGCCCGATTATAAATACTGCAATCTCAAAATACAGAATAAAAACTCATTGAAAATCTATTGAAAATCCACGATAGATACTCCTGGAAAAAGTGTCAAAAATCGACAATTTGTTTTTTGTTGCTCCTTGGAAAAAATCGAAAAAAAACACGTTTGATGCTCTTTTTGGGAAATTAAAAACAATCCTTAAAATATAAAAATCCAGAATTAATACTCCTTAAAAAATATAAAAATCGACGATTGAGGAGGAAAAAACTTTGGAAAATCTTAAAAAAATCTCTTACCCTTAAAGCGAGAAAAATCAACAATTGATAGTCAATCTTAAAAAAAAATTCTTAAAAATTTTTTAAATATCCAAGATTAAGACTTTCAAAAAATGTTAAAAATTGACAATTGAGACTCCTTGAAATAAATCTTCTTTAAATATTTACTATTGTGGTTCTGATCACTCTTGAGGGAAAAAATCTTAAATATCCACGTTTGACACTACTTAAAAAACTCAAAAAATTCTGGATAATCATTGAAATAAATCTGAAATTCACAGTAAAATCTGTTTGCTAAAAATCCACAATTGTTACTCCTTGAAAATCTAAAAAAAATCCCGGATAAATACTCCATGAAAAGCTATAAAAAATACACGATAGATACTTCTTGAACGAATTTTAAGAAGCGCCGATACTCCTTGAAAAAAAATATCCAGATTTCTGATATAACCTGAAAAATAGTCTTATAAACAAATATTTTCGATTTCAGTGTTGGCTTCTTTGTTCGGAATACCATAGTATTTTGTTTTTACAAAATGGTCAGGCTTAATCCAATTATTGTTGTTTTTTTTTCAATTTCTTGAAAATTATTCTCAATTATGTCTCGTATAGTGGAAACAATCTACGATCCTTACTCTGCCAAGACTTCAAAAGGTACTCTTAGTCCCGGACTTTCATTGAAAAATATTCTTAAAAGCTCACGTGTCATGGATCGGCCAGTCGCCGAAAACGGTCCTTAAAAAATCCACGTTTCATGAACCTAAAAGATCTTGTAAAATATTCCTAGTAATTTCAGCTTCCTGGTTCTGACAGTTCTTGGAAGAAAACGTTTCATGGCCGTAAGAGTTCTGCGCGTTGCATGGCTCTTCATAAAATTTTGCCCTGAAACAGGTGAAGAAAATGTTCGCAAATAAATTCACTGTTGTGGGTCTGATATAGCTTGGCAAAATATTGTTACAAAATCTAGATTAAAATTAGCAATTATTTGCCCGAATATAAGTTTTGAAAAATCTGTTATACAGAATGGCTTTTCAATTTTCACTGGCCGTATTTTTTTTTTTTTTCTAATAATTATATCTACGCTTGGAAATGGTGTAATAGTTCCCACCATATCAATATTTGCCATTATTTATCAGTTGAACTTTGATGACTAAAATTATTTCTATTTTATTTTAAATGATGTGGCGATTTTGTTGTCGACCATAGATAAGACAAGGACGTTCAAAAGATTCGCACTGACAAAAAACTTCTAATCATTATTGGACAACTAAAAATTATTACTGGATTACCTATATTTGAAAGTAAAAAGAAAATTGCAGTAATGGAAATAAAGAATATTAAACTCACATTTAACAGGGAAATCTACCTGTCCAAACTTCGACAAACGTATCTTAAAATGCATTGCACATACACACACACCAGTTGTTGGACATTTATTGAACATTAAACAAGTGCAAAATATCAATCCATGGAGAATTGTCTATGCCACTAAGGTACAGGTCAGGTAGTAGAAAAGACAAACATTCTGGATTAAGGCAAACCGACAAGTAGAAGTAGGGAGATGTCTATCTCAAAAACACATGTCTAAATGCCACCACTACCTATAAGAAATTGTTTTTGTACAACTCTATAGACCATTATCCGACCATGCGTATGTTTGGTTCGAAGAAGTCGAAGATCTACTTACGTTAGATAAGAACTCATCACATATTGTTTGTTAGTGGATACTTGTTGTAATGGTCTTATGTAGAGCAGAACGAAATGAGGTAATGTCTACTTATCTCAGATACAAGAGAGAAAGGACATGTGTCGGGTAGACTACTCTTCTTTTCATTTATTTATTTGTTGCACCTCAGGTAAGAAATTGTCGAAATAATTTTTGTATGAAACGATTGGTGAAATGTGCATTCATGAGAGCATTTAGATATTGAAATATGCCTAGACATCACGAATGTCAGAAGTTTTGTCGTCAAGTTTATGTCTCTCAACAGTTTCTGAAATATATCTGGAAATCACAGCAAAAATTACCAACAATTTTTAACCTTTTTAAAGAAAAATATCGTTACTAATAAAATTTTGCAAAAATATAAAAAAAGAAAAATTATAAATCTGCGATTGAGACTCCATGAAAAATATGTAAAAAACGATCCCCTTGATCTCCTTGAAAAAAATCTTCAAATACCAAGATTGATAATCTTTGAAAAAAGGTTAAAAATCGAAAATCGTTCGTTGAAAAGTTCTTGATAATCTACCACAAAATTCTCCTTGAAAAAAATATGTCAAAAATCAAAGCTTTATACTTTTTAAAAGCCTCTTTAAAAACGACGATATATTATTCTTGAAAAAATGTCTAAATCCACAATAGATACTCCTTGAAGTAATGTTAAAAATTGGCAATTGGTGCACATTGAAAAATATGCAGGGAAAAGAAATCCTCGATAGATACTCCTGGAAAAGTAAAAATATTCCTGGATTAATAATCCATAAAAATTAAAAAAAATCGACCTTTAAATCTCCTCAGAAAAAAAAAACTTAAAAATCCATAAACTTTGAAAAAATTATTAAAATCAAAATTTGATCATTTTTAAAAAATGTTCTTAAAAGATCCTAAAAATCTAGGTTCGTTGCTCCATGACAACCTTCAAAATAGATGAGAAAAAAAAATAATATTGAGGATTGATATTCTTTGATTATGATTATTTCTCCGATCGCCTTTAAAAATTCTAAAAAAATAGAGATTTGACACACCCTGGAAAATGCTTTAAATCCAAGATTAACATACCCTAGAAAGTGCTTAAAATCCCCCTATAGACGCACCTTGAAAAATTCTTCTTAAATAGCCAAGATTAAGGCTCTGATGGCCTCTGATAGCATGTATCTAATAATTCACTACTTTAGTACGGATTCAACTTTAAACAAGTAAAAAAGCAGTAAGTTCGGCCGGGTCGAACTTTGAATCCCCTCCACCATGTAGAACGAATTTGGAAATTTTCAAAAAAAAAAAATAAAATTTGTTAAAAATGCTGTTAAAATCTTAAAAATATGTCGACATAGACCTGCATAGGAAACTTATTCAAATGCAAAACTTAAAAAAAAATCCGCTGATGCTACCGTTATATAAAAGCTATATAGGAAGGTACTGATATAAGGGGCCTATGCGAAGAGCTGGATGGGCATAGACAATTTTCTATCTTAGGCTGTAGTATCTATTACGAACTTCAAATGCCAAATTTGAAACAATTCCGTTAAATAATGTCGCTAAAATCATCAAAATACCAAATATGGGGAGATACCGTTATATGGAGGCTATTCCAAATTGTGGACTCTCATGGCCCATTTTACCAAATACCAAAAGTCCTGCAGACATAATATACATTTGAGTAAAATTTTTTCAACCTTCGTCATTTCGTTCGGAAGCTAGAGTAATTTCCACAGACGGACGGACATCGCTAATTTTTATGCTGATCAAGAATATATATACTTTGTGGGGTCTATAATGTATATTTCGAGGTGTTACAAACGGAATGACGAACTTAATATACCCTCCATACTATGGCGGAGGGTATAATAACAAACCATCAATGAAAAATTTGGAGGATACTGGCAAATTACTTTTCTTGAAGAACTTGGCACCAAACCTTCTAAAATCTAAAGATTTCAAACAATTGATATTCCTTACCATGAGAATGTGATTTCATTAGTAAGTCCTCAAGGAACACATTCTCGCAAAATAATTTGATTGCAGACCAAGGTTTTGGAATTGAAACGGTAGCCTTAAACGGCTTTGGTATGGGCGACTGAAATTTCCAATTTTGCACATGTTTTTGTTAAGCTTTGACCAGGTGCTAAGGTTTTTGAAAATGCGTTCTCAAGAACCTTCAGGCAAGAATAGGTCCTTATTTCAAAAATATTTTTCGAAGACTTATCCAGGTTAAAAAAATCCTTAATCAACAGAGGCTGGAATGCATCCCGGATACATATATTATAAAGATTCAGAACTTCGAGATTTTTATATGATTTGACCAAAAGTTCAACAATTTTGGGTTGCCGATGTTTAGACTATCCACTTGTAAATTTGTTTAAAATGTGGTAAGAGAGTTTTATCGGGACTGTGTGTCCCTTTAAATATTTCTTTCTTGCAAAACGTTTGGATTGCCAGGAAACTGGCTTTTTAAGTAGGGATAGGTTAGGTTGAAAAGAGGGGCGAAAACGATCGCCACATGTCCTGGTGGACATACAATTAAGTAAAGCTCAACAGGGTCTTCTTTCTCCGCTTATTATTCCAAGGCCGTTCCCTTGGCTGTATAGGACAGTCGCACGCTCTAGACTACGAGGTTTTTAAAAAAGACGGCCACTTTACAGTCTATTTAAAATTCAGTTGTCCTTACAAAATTCCTTAACTATTTTACTTCATTTACCATTATCTGATTTAGGTCAGGTATGGAGTCGTAGTTCCCGCTCATTAATTGACTCATAAATTTCCGCTCATAAATTTGTATATCTAATCCGTAAATATCAAAAAGTCGGATTATTTTCACTATTACTGGCTTTCGCCCTTTGAAGTTACCTATACTTTTAGTCAATACAAATAATTGTCCTCTTTCAAATCTACCAAATTTGCCCCCGGAAAAAATCCACAATTACTTACCTTGACTTGCATTAACCAAATCGGCACCGAATAAAATGCAGATGACAACTAACACCAAAAACGTCTTCATTGTCGATGATGAACAGCAGCTAAATGCCGGTCGATGGTGAATTCCAAAGGAATGTTGATGTTTTGCTGTAGCACACTTCCTTTTTCTGTCGCAGAGGGAGATGGTGGAGGAAGAGTGCAAGGAGTTAAGTTTAGTAATTCCAATAGTACTGCCGCCGCCGCAAAGGATATTATCCATTATGGTAATGGGTAAATGTGATAGGGTAATGTTTTGAAGACAAAGGGGCTGATAAGGGGAGGATAGATTGATTGTACACAAATATAGCACATTTACGATATCATTTTGATTTATTTGGTTTTTTTTTTCGTTAAACAATTCTGCAAATTTTCCAACAAGCACGGTTTAATTTAATACATTTCTTTTCAATTCTCTGTGATTTTTGCACTTCTCTTTCTCTATTTATAACATTTTGTGTTTTATTATTTTGTAATTAACGATGTTTTTCTGTATTCCAGGAAATACGTTTTTTTTTTTGTTTGCGTCGTCTGTGCCTCCTCTACCGTTTGCAAAGGCTGGCTGGCTGGCTTTTCCGCTCACAAGAATTGACAGTTAAAGCCCCGTTACTTTTACGGGGTTGGCAAAAGGATTGTGCGAAAACATTTGTGGTTATCACCGGAAGTATAATGCCGTGTATTCTTCTTCTTCTTTTTATTTCCTTGTTTTTTTTCTCTCACAAATTTATTTTACAAAACATTTCTTTTAACTTCTTTTATGTTTATAATAAAAATAACTTCGAACTCCTTTCCTTGTTATCACTTCCACTTTATGATTTTTCCTTTCAAGCTTATTTTTTTCTCTCTCTCTATTCTATACACATTTTTGACATTTTCGCTATGCCTTCTTGTTTTGCTTTTGATTTTTTACACTACTTCTTCTTCCTTATTCCAGGTTTAGGTTTGTGCAATTTCCAACTTTTCTCTTCCTTTGATGCCTGAACTCACTGGACGATGACAGACATTACAGACATTGCACACACACAACACATACACAAAATACACATTAAAATGTTCTTGGAAACGACGAGATTAGCATTCACTTTATTCTTATTTTACAAATATTCTTTGTGTTATTTTCTTCCAATTGATATTTTTTTTATTTATAATTTTATTATTATCTTAAATTCATTATAGTTTTTCATTTTTGCAATTTATCATTTAAAAATTCGTCGCATCGAACACAAACTCTCCGCTCACACAACCGCTTACAGCAAACTTCAAAATCAAACTGAATCGAACGAAGTAAACAATAAAAGAAAATGGAGAGAAAAGTGATGCCAATACATTTAAAGTTAAAGAGAGTTGCAGAGAACGCATTTAAAGATAGTGCCAATCATATAAAAATGGTGCCGACACCAGTGTTGCCGTTTGAAATTTTTATTTCAGCCCAATTTTTTTCTAAAAACCGCCCAAAATCGACCATATCCGCCCAAACTGTAAAAAGTTGAATAATTTATATGTAGTTGAATTTTATTGAAAATCTTACACTATACATAAAAAAGGTACTCAAGTTTTATTACATTCAATGTATTAAATACATTAGAGAAAATAAAATTTGTGTTGGGGGTATTATAACTTTCATTGGGCCAAAAATTATGTAACACCACGAAATATTGGTTTCCCACATAGGAAAGTATATATGGATCTTCCTATCTCGCCGAGCTGAGTCGATCTAGCTATGTATGTCCGTCTGTCCGTCTGTAGCTGGGGTTAAGGTCAGAATAGAACCCTACTTCTTTTGGAGATGATCGCATAATATTTAGGGGTTAAATTGGACCAACAACTGAAAAATTTCCTGATTTTGCAGTTGCTCTACAGGTCACAATCATAGACCAATCGAAATTTAGCATGGGGCTAGAGCTTTGGACTGGGCAGAAGCCTTCCAATTTTGATGGTCATCGGGTAATATTTAGTGGTTTAGTAGACCATAGCATTTGCGATGAATAAAAGTCAATTTTTTCCATTAATCCGCGAATATGTTTACTGCCGGCGAAATCACAAATAGACGAACAGGTCAATTCTGACCGTTACGTAGATGCCGATAGTAAAAATATCGGATATATATAGAGAAATATATACAATGTATATATACAAAGGAAGGGGATGTCAACTAGAATGCTTATATCTTCAGAATGGCTTGAGCGATTTTGACAAATTTTGTCAATTTAGAATGCCCTTGGGGCATTAAAGTATAAATACTAAAAAATCACATAAAAAGATACCAATAATGATGTTCATATAGATTTTGTAGTATTTTGTGACATTTTATTTATTTTTTCATATTTTTGTCGCATGCTATTTTTTTTTAAAATTGACTTATAATATTGAAGTATTTGTTTTGTAATATTTTTTTCACTTTACGACACAGGTTAGGGTTATTATTTATATACAGATTGCAATTATCGTTCCATCCTCATGAAATTTTTCACAAAGGTAGGGTTAGGCTCAGAAGGGCTTAGCCTATTGTTTTCAAAGATGTCCGCAATATATTTAGGGGTTGAAATGGACCAGCAATTCAAAATGTTCTTGATTTTGCAGCCGTTATAAAGGTCCCAAATATAAACCTAAGGACACGAAATTTCGCATGAAGTTAGAGCTTAGGACAGCGGGTAGAATGGACCACTACTTTTGTGTAAAAAAATACCAACATTACTTACAGGCGATACACAATGCTGATTTCGTTGACGAATATTTCGTAGACCAAATATCGTAGACACGGATATCGGAGACACAGAGGGGCCTCTTGCTTTTAGAGATGATCGGAAAATATCTAGGGGTTTACATGAACCAAAAACAGAAAAAAAAAATTCCTGATCACACAATTGAAGACAATCGACACGCCTGAGAAGATCGGCAAGCACAGGGAAGAATTCTGGCATTTTGGATGACCATTGGAATATATTTAGCCGTAAAATGGACCACAAAAACTAACAGCACGACGGAGAGCATAAATATTCGGAGAATGTCCCTGGTCAAAATGCTAAGGGTAATATCTGGGCAGTGCTCCGTGACAATTTCAAAAGCGAAATCTTCCAAAATAGATTTGGACATGAGGGGGCTTCTAACATATTGTAGTGTTGTAGGGTATCACATGGTCGGCCCCGCACGACTATAGCCTAATGTATTATATATATTATTAAAAAAAAAACTTAACAAAAATCTATAAAATAAAAAACGATTCATCTCAATAAAAAAAGTATAAAATTCAGTTAGTAATAAAAAAAATTAAATTACCTAAAAATAAACAATGAAAAATAAATTTGTACTCAATATGGAAAAAATCCGCCCAAAATCCGCCCAAACCACAAAATTAATCTTTTTTCCGCCCAAATTTGGACGGAAACGCCCAAAACGGCAACACTGGCCGACACTACAAAGAATGAAGGATTAAGAAAAATGTTGTCAAATTTGAGTGCTGCCAATATAGCGATTTTTAAGCTTAACCAAGGCATCTATATAAGGATTTGTTTCACTTGCTAGGAGTGTCAGTTAGTTTTATTTTGAATAAGCATGAATAGTCAATGAAATTCAATTAAAACCAGTTAAATAGTATCAGTTGGTCACTCTAATATAAATATTACAGCGTGCCATATTTGGGCTACATCGTCTACTTCCTATAGCTTATATGAGGTATGTGCAATTTTTTGGAAAATGTGCAAATATGCGTGAAATACCAGATATATCGTACCGAAATATTTCACTTCATCTAATAAACATAAAAATATTATTTGCAAAACGAAATCGATCATTAATATCCACTTTCATACGAAATCATAAATTCCGATAATTTAGATATTATAAAAGATTTTTAGTTAAGAGAAATATTTAGATACAGCATGTTGTATAGATTTGCCGACTTGTTTCGCTAGTTATGACAAATATAATTATTGGAAATTGTGACCCTTCGTGGGTGAGGTACAAGAAGGAATTGGCAAATACCTATCATTTTCACAACAGATTTTGCGTTAGCAAAAATGTTTGTGTATATGAAATTTGCAGAGAGTTGGATACTTATTTCGCGTTTTATAAGCGTTTTGTTTTTCAAAACTTCTAACCCTTTTGTGGGAGAAGTACCTCAAAGAGTGCGCCGATATATCCCATTTTCACAACAGATTCTGTGTTTGTAGAAATAGTGGAATGTGGGATATATGAAGAGAACCGGATGCTTATTACAGATTTTATCACCGTTTTGGTTATTTAAAACCTTGGCCCTTTGTGGGGGAGGTACCAGAAGAAATTCTCCGATCTCTACCATCTTTATAACAGATCTTGCGTAGATGCAAATATTAAGATGTGTCAAGTCAGAATAGAATCGGATGTTAAATTCGTGTTTTATGAGCTTTATGAATTCTCAAAATTTTGACCCTTTCTGGGGGAGGTACCAAAAGGAGTGTACCAATATATTCCATCTTCACACCAGACTTTGTTTTAACAAAAATATGTTGATGTGTGTAATTTGAAGACAATCGGACACTTACATCACATTTTATAAAAGTTAAAATTATTGGAAATTTTGACCGATTGTGGGTGATGCGATACTTGATGGAGTGAACCGATATTTTCCATTTTTGCACCTGACCTTGCGCTGATGAAAATATTAGGATTTCCAAAGTTGAAGCAAAATCGGATTATCCTTTCTCTTTGTGTGCAGTAAAATATGTTTTGAAATTTTTGACTTTTGTGCGGCAGATATCAGACCTGGCACTAATATAATTATTAAGATTTGCTTTGTTCGAATATAATCCAATGATCCTTTCTCTTTTAATGAGATAAATTATTTTCTTTGAAAATGTTGGTGGGGAAGGTCCAGTAGGAGTCGGACACTCCATTCGAGTGTTATCGTGCGCACCAACCAGACAGATGGACGGACGGATTCCAAATGCTCTGAAACGGATTTGGTCAAAAGAGATCTATCATGTGATATATACCCTCTGTAGCCAAAACCCAAAATTGGTCCTGTCAAAGTTTGATTTCCTCAGAAATCCACTCCCTGTCAGAGTTATTCCAAATTATTTGCAACAAGTTTTCATTTCCTTGATGTCTTTCATTAATTTTTTAAATCAATTAAAAAACGTGAGAAATGCCTTCATTTTCTTTCAAAGATATGATCTGAACTGATCAATCTGTCAATTCCATGATAAAACTGGTTGATAGCTGTAATGCGCGCCTGCAATATATAACAATAAATATATACATAAATTGTCTATTGCAGAACTACAACAATGTAAAAATTATTACTACGATAACAAATTTTCAATATGATAACTAAAAAAAAGTAATAAATCCAAAAATAGTAGATTATTGCAGAACAGAGCAAAAATTGGTCGGGCATGCTTAGAAAAAATCGTAATAAGCTGTAAGGTCTACCTTACCTTTTTATTGTAATAGTGTAAAAGTTTTTACTACGATAACCGATTTCCCCTTTATAATATCGAAAAAAAAGCAAAATTGTAGTAGATTCTTCTAGTTTCTGGAACTGAGCAAAAATTGGCTGAAGTCGGGCACAGTTAAAAAAACAGTTGATAACTCTACTCTACAATTTCGCTTTGTTTATTACTTTTAAACAAAAACGAAGAAAAATGCAGTGACATTTACAAAAAAACTTGTCATATCTCTGAAAAAATGCATTTATTTTAAATGAAAAGATGCAATAATGAAAACCGGATAATGTGGACTCTATCCTGTACTTTTTCTAAAGTAAGGGATAACGAAACCGAACTATAAAGAAAAGAAAAAACGGACCTATTACTATTAAAAGGCGTTAAAAATCATTTTTAACTCTTTCATGTTTTGGCGATTTTAATTTCAGCTACGTTTGCAGCACTGCAAGTATGGTGAAATCTCAAACGGCTATTGTTGGTCATTGTCAGCTTAAGGGGAATTCTTGAAATTGATGTGTTGAATATGAACTCATTTAACAACATCGTACTTAAGATCCTCGATAGTATAGTGGTTAGTATCCCCGCCTGTCACGCGGGAGACCGGGGTTCAATTCCCCGTCGGGGAGATACACGATTTCTCATTTGTGGCAAACTTTTTATTATTAACTCTCACATAAATCAATTTCTTCACATATAACGTACAATTTTTATAAAATCTGACCTGACATTCCCAGGTGTAGTCATTGCCCCCTCCCAACTTTTGCCATGAATCATGATTGTAATACAACAATGCACAACAAGAACAAAAATACTCAGTTTTGCATAACATTTGACATCAACA